TCTAGAAATCAAAAACTTGTTTTGGCAATAACTTCACAGCCAAAGTTGCGGATATCCTTCGTGGAAGTCATTTCAAATTGCCTGCCCTAGGCAATTATTTCGGGTTGTCTTCCCTAGGCAGTTATTTCACGTTGCCTGCTTTAGACACTATTTGCCTTTCCATTTGGATTTGAATGCGTGCTTGCGCTTAACTTGATTGATTTTGACTTTGCTGTGCGATAGAAACAAGCAAAATATAAAAGATTGTCTGAGGTGAAGGTGATCAGGCTTTACAACGTTTCAATCGCAAATAAAAGAAACGGAAATAAAAGACAGCGAGAAAAGGGAGGAGATATTTGACTATCCGCGCTTGTTTTTAATTTGACTTCATCAATAAACCCGGCCGATGCACCCGGCAGGGCCCGGCACAGATGGTTTGGGGTCAAACTGGACTTCGTTTTTGGAGTTAGAGGCAACGGGGATATCGTTTTTATAAGGTCCTGGAGGAAGCGCCAAAAAAATGACGAGCGTGTCAAGTTTCACGAGTTGAACGTGTTCTTTCGCAAGCGCGCGAATTTCAAACGCAGTACTAAAACAAACAAATGGCTTGTTTACAGCGCATAAACAATCACATGGTTCCAAATTTCGGATACTTGTATACAATATTACTCCAAACTATGTTATGTAAAAAGTTCCAAAAACTTATGTGTCCTAATATGCGTTCCCGATTTTGTTGGTTTCTAGACCAACCACCAAACCAACTGGGTTGGTTCGGAGCATAAATATCGGAGAGTTCACATAAGTGCTGGATCTTTTTGATTTGGACGATTAGAACGGTCAAAAATCTATCATATAGTGAAGAGAGCGAATCAAACCACTGCCTCTCCTCTTTTTTCGAGCCAAAAGTAGTGTAATCCTACGCGTTGATAGATATCGCGCTCCAATCACATGCGGTGTCCTTTAAACTAAATGGCGAAAAATGCATCACCGGATTGTTGAGGCCACGGATTTGGTTGGCCTGGAAGGTTTTCGACATTCCGAGCACTAAAATGGTACTTTACCCAACAGCAGAGCCTTTAATGGATTCGAAACGTGTTCTTTTTGCTTTTTTGTACTACATGATTTAAAATGCTTTTTTCGCTTTTTTACTGTTATTGTAATTGAATAGGGGTTTTCCTACCGATTTTTACGTCAAAAGACTTCGTAAATTTTCGCGAAGTCATGGGGGACTTCGTTTACAAAAAAGCTCTAAACCAACGCGTGCCGGGCTCTGGCACCAGGTCTTGCTCAACAACTGCAACAGCCGGGTCAACTTGATTGGCCACTGTATACTCAAACACACGGAACTTCCGCAGAATATGCAAAATTTGCAGCGGTTCGCAGGATTTTGTTTTCTATCGCAAAAGTAGAAACGTTGAAAATGAGAAATTCCGCAGGATTTTGATCTCAAGCTGGTTGAAAACGGGGACTTCCGCAGGATCTTTTACAGAGCGCTGCGGAACTTCCGAAAATGCCAGCGGTTCCGCAGCATTTCACATGCTGGTACTTCCGCAGGGTTTTGGATGGGTTGTCTCGTGATGTTGCCTCGCCAACAACTAAAATTATCGAACATTTTAGCCGTAGTGCAGAGGATAGTAGGCGGGTCTCACAGTCAATAGAGTGAGGTTGAAATCTCGCTTAGGTCTTCCCTTTTGCTGTTGTGGTTCGCATTCTTCGGAACTTCCGCAGCACCTGATTTGGGGACTTCCGCAGGACGTTTGCGGCCGCAGGTGACCCGGCAGAACTTTCCCAAACGTTCTGCGGAAACATCGTTCGGTTGTCTGAGTATGGCAGGAATGTCAAAATGTAAGCATCATAAGTCTTTGTTCGCTCTCTTCAACTCGGCCCCCCTTCGTTCATAGTCCCCGCAGCGGCCCCGCCTTCCACACTTGGTGAATCACGACACTCCCGGTTTCTTCAAAAAAGAGGCACTGCAGTGATAATTCTATTTCGTCAATGTCACACCAGCCTTAGAGGCAGTGTTCGAGCAAAAACTTGATTTCTAGAAAATCCACTTACCGGGGGTTATCCGCAACGCTGAATCCGAAAATCCACATTAGAAGACGCAAAAACGGCGAGAACATACGTTCTCCAAAGCCGCACAATTTGAAATTTGGTGGTTCCCACCAAGGCAGAGACGCAGAGTCGCTGCGACCCCACATTTTAACTGTGGCGGCATGCGTATAGTCTGCCCCAATCCTGACCAGGCCGAAATTGGAATGGCGAGAGTCCGCGTCGCGAGGGTTTCGCGCCACATCAAGGGCTAGCTTGTCTACTTTCTCCTCATTCTCTTCGCTCTCTGCGACAGCGCGCATGCAGCGCAAACACCTGGCGCTGCGAGCGCGCAAATTCAGCCAGAGGTCCGGCCTGATTCCGATTTGGGCAGACTGTGCTCTGCCGCATAGCAGGAATTCGGACAGCTCGGAGGACCCCACCCCAAGGCGTAAGTTTCCCCATTTTCTGGTCGTTTTTTTTGCTTTAGGTCGAGCGTTATGGGAGACGGTCAAGAGGCGCGATTTCTCTGGCTGTCACCAACTTACAACCCCAGTTTCATGCCATGCGATTCTTCAAAAATTACCAGATAAATTGCAATAGCTTACTATCTGTCTGAGGTTACCACTTGCTGAGTTTGATGGCTTTTGCTGGGAAACGGATCGAAATATTTACGAGTTTGCTCCTAACTGCATTTTCATGGGTTTTTGACCTTCAAAATTGCTGTTTTGATTCGATTCCAAGGTATTAAGATTGAACGACCCATGCAGCTATCGGATATACCTCCTTCTAAAATCTGAATAAATTTAGAAAGTTAGAAAACACTTATTATGTGCTATTTGTTATCCATCTGGCAATAAAAATCGCGCCTCTTGACATACACCCGAGCGTTATGACGTCGCACTTGCGCGATGTTGTGTCTGAGGGGGGGGGGGCCACCTCGCATGGCACTGAAACTCCAAAACCCCCATCTTGCCCGGACACTACCTTTAAAGGAAGTGGACCAAAATGGACCCTAGTCAGATTTTGGTAGTATTAGGTAGACCCCTAAAGCACACCTTAGCCTCACCCACCCTCCAATGCATACGATGAGTCCTGAAAATGAGCTACAAAACTGTACCAATGAACTCCACCAATGACGCCCACTCAGTGGAAGTGGGCAGGGCTGGTGGAGTTTTGAAGCGCGTTTTCACGACCCAGGCTCGAATTGCAGGACGAGGGTGGAGCTACCGTGTAGTTAGGGCGCCTGCTACCTAACGCTACCAAAATTTGACGGGGTCCATTTTGCCGATCCACTGCACACTTTATCGAATGGACAGTTTACGCAATGACCATGCAGCAGCTGCCGTTAAAGCCTGCCACATACTAGACACGCTCTAATGTCTTCACTCGTGATGTTATTTGAGATTGTTCAAAGTCGCGCGTGAATGCAACGTTACACGATAGCATTAGTTGATTCGGAAACAAAAAAAGAGACAAAGAGATATCCAACTACTGGTGATTGCTGATTAGAAATATGTGGTTTACGACATCTTCTCTAGTGTATGGAGCCATTCATTCGAGTAATATCGTCCTGCGATTCCATCCGCCCTTCTTGTGCATATCTTCGCAGCTGTCTTGAGCATGTTTGAGCTCTTTCGACAGTGATCGGATTTGCAGAGGAAGCTTGATCAAAATGTTCCCGGAACAATTTTTACGAGACCATTTTCACATCATTTGCATTATGGACCAGTTCTTTGGGGTGTATGTCAAGAAGTGCGATTTTTTTTTGCCAACTGGACATCAAATTGCACACTTTAAATGTTCAATAATGTTCTAGGGGTCTTTGAAATTTCTGAGAAGTTACAGAAGGTCGTTGCATGAGCTGTCTGATCATATCATCTTGAAAAAGATCCAAAACAGACATTGGAGGTCAAAAACCCATGAGAATGCAAATAATGGCAATTCCGTGAACATTTCGCTCATTTTTGCAGCAAAAGCCGTGGAACTTAGCAGATGGTAACTTCAAACAGCTAGTAAGCTACTTTCTCTGGAATTTTTTGAAAACTTGTGTAATGCAGAATGGGCTTTTCAAGTTGGTGACAGCCAGAGAAATCGCGCCTCTTGACCGTCTCTCGTTTCTTTGTAGTTCGAAAAGGAACGGCAGTTGTATTTCAGTTGCTGCGGCGTGAACATCATTCGAGCGTCGGTCGACCATGGTCGACCGGCGCTTATGCATTTAAAACAATCGTTACTCGGTTTGTGTTTATGCTATGACGCCACATCATCCATGGGTAATACATAAGAGGAAGACACGGCTCTACAGATTCTTTTATACTACCGCACGGTGGCAGAACGTCGTGCGCAGCAGCAAAGGACACATCACTGACTGTTTTTATTTAAATAAAAATTTGACCATTTTGACACTTCAAGCTTACGGTACAATCCAATACTTCTAAATCCTCTATATATAAAGATGGAAGTCTGCGGATGCAAAATTCTGCAGCATCGTTACTGTATGATTTCTATAGACTCCTTTCTGCGTGGACGAATTCATCTGAATCTTTGCTCACACATAGGCGACCGCGCAGAATAACATAGGCTGCTTCTGAACCAACTGGCTCGCCCCTTCTGTCGATTTCTTGATTTTTGGCCCTTTGCAATAAAAATGAATTTTTATCAGCCTAATAAATTATCAGCTCGCGTAAAAAACAGCAGTATTCATTCTAATGTTGTGGAAAGGATGCGGTGATAGGCGAGCCATATAGCGAGTGAGTCGGATACAAGAACTTATGCAGCGCAACCGGATAGTTGGTTGGAGGGAGAGGGTGGGAGCTCTGGACCATGTTGGAGGAAGCAAGAAAGCTGGACCTGCCCGGTGTGGTGGGGAAAGGACGACATGCTCTTCTTCTCATGATTCAAGATACGCATACAATCTCTTGCCGGACCATTTAAGGCTCTGGCCGGCTGGACCGGGAAAGCTAGTTAGTAATGCAATAAAAAGCAAAAAAGTTCTGATTTATTTTACATTACGAGCCTTTCTCATGACAACAATGCGAAAATCACGAAATGGTGGAGGGGTTTGCTGCAATCGCAGTAGTCGGGAGCGATATCGCACTTCGTTCTGCCAAATTCGATCCCTGAAGTGAATTTGTAATTCACATAAGATTATAAAAATGTGTAATTATGAATTTTAGGATGGCTTCTTGATACAGATATACACAAAAGACAGCTACACCTAAATCAGATAATATACAGGAAAAAAAAGTTGTATCTATGTCAGATATAGTCCTGCAGTGCTCTAAGGGTGCCTTCATACCGCGCCGGCAGCCGCCGCTAGCAGCCTAGCAGCCGCTAGCAGCCGCCAGCAGCCCGTAGCAGCCCGTAGCCGCCGCTGGCCGCTTTTGTTATAGAAGCGCAGAATCATCAGAAAACTACTTTGAGTGCTTCTGCCTCTTTCTGTTGCCGCCAGTGGGTAGTTCGATATCTCACAAACCATATTTGTGTCCATTTCATTACAATGTCACCCCACGGTCATCTTGTTGAAACATAGTTCGCAGAAGTTTTTGTCGGTGTGATTCCCTCTGGCTTTGGATGCGTCCAGTTCCTGCAGGTGTGGAATTTGTTTACTTTTTGAATATGCTTTTGATTCCATCTTCTTCTTGGCTGTCGGTGCTTATCTGAATTGCATTCTACTATTTCGCAAGCTCGCCGAACTGATTCGCGGGTGGGTTCTTCTAACTTTGACAATGGCTCACATTCGTTTTAGACAAGACAGATGGCAAAGGGTAAAATTTGGGCATCGATAGGTTGCAATGTGCGGCAGTAGAACAGTGAACACAATTGTGATATGTAAGATCGAACTACCACTGGGGGCAACAGAAGAAAAAGCATGGAAGATGAAAAGCGTAGGCAGGAGCCCGATGACTTTGCGCCTCTATAACAAAAGCAGCCAGCGGCGGCTACGGGCTGACGGGCTGCTGGCGGCTGCTGCAGGCTGCTGGCGGCTGCTACGGGCTGCTACGGGCTGCTGCGGCTACGGGCTGCTACGGGCTGCTAATGGCGGCTGCCGGCGCGGTATGAAGGCACCCTAACTTCAAAAGCAAATCTGACTAGCAACTGGGCAGTTCCAAGAGCGCGCATCAAAATTAATCAAAGAGTCGAAGTTTTGCATCTCCAAAACTTTTGAATGTCAGTTTCAAACTCGATACACTTTAAAAAGTATATCACAAGGAGATGAACTTATGATGAAAAAAAAACGAGAACATAAGATAGGGATTACCAAAAGCTTGCAAGTTAAACCTGAGATATTATCTCAATTACCTTCTCAAAATCTGCTTTTCTTCCTTTTCGTGTTTTTCATGACGTTTCGTATAGGCTTCAAGGTCAATTGGTTCATCCGTGAGGCGTGGCTGACATCGCAATGGATTTAAGCGACCCACCTGAAAATTGGTAGTTCGGAAACCGTTAGAAGCAGGTTTCAATTCAAAAAGAGATTCGAATAAACTAACACGCAAAAGTTGAGAATCAAAAAAGGAATTGTATGGATTACAGCTCACCATTCTTACTTCAGGCAGCTGCAACTTCTTGTCAAAGATCGTCGGAGCCTCAGAGCTTACATTGGGATCATCCTGTAAAGCGAGCTCTGCTATATAAAAAGTTCACAAAAAAGTACAAGGCGCAAATTAAGATGAAATAAATGAACATTAGTAGATGATGGAAAAACCCACTGCATTGCTATGTGTCGGCGCACATTCCGGAATAAAAGCGACTGCGTACTGATTCTCTTTCAAGCTTGGTGAAGAAACTTTTCTCTTGCGAGACGCCAGCTTGGATTTGCCTCCCTGAAACCTTACAATCATGAAAAGGGAATTCAGATGATCGGAAGATGCGGGTAATATGGAGACGCACAGAGAAGATCTGTATAGTAGACATATTGAAGGCAAGATAACACCTTTGCTGTTTTCCTCCTAGGAGTTTTCTTCTCATCGTTGCAATGCAACGTAATTTTGTCTCCGAATTTCCGTTGCTTAGGAACTGGAGAAGATGCAGCTTTTCTCTTATTAGATGCGGCCATAGTTTACCCCTGTAATTCGAGCGTAGAATAGTGGTTAATGGTATAAGATATGGAACCTTTGAGCTCGATTTCTACCGAGGACGAAAACGCGATATGTAGGTAGATGGGATTCGTTGGATTGAAACTTATCTGAGCAATATCTCTTCAAAACACCTTGGCAAAAAGAAAGCATTCCAATTCTCTGCCAAAAAGATTCATTGATAGTATTCGAAGCGAGCATCGATCGCAACGTACCTAAACGCATACGCGTCGCTACCCGGTACTGGAGCGCGGTAGATGCCAGGGCTCGAGTACTTTGCATGTTGAAACTTGAGGCTTTGATCCTAAACTTTTGAAAACTTTCCGGCTAGCTAGACTCATCAATGGTGGATTTCGCCAAAGTCTCTCTTCGGGATTCTCATAGGCAACTCGCTACTAGCCCATTTGCAGCCTCTGACATTTGCGCAAAATCATCAGCGTTTATCATAGTGACGGAATAGTTTTAAGAAGAAGGGTGGGGGGAATTTTTTTATAGAAGGCGGGCACTAGTCACCCCCTTGGTATAATAAGTTTCAACTCAGTTTAGCCGGAAATTGGACTGGCGGGAGTCCGCTTCGCAACGATTAGCGCTGCTTTGCAGTCTGCGTCTCCTCATTCTAATGTATCTCGATGAGCCAGTGGCGGCGCGGACGCGCTGCTCCACTTGGGATGTTTCGCCTACTCCGATTTGGAAAGACTATAGATATGACGCTTCAAAAAAGCGTGCGCACTTATACTCCCGAGCAGGGCATACCGATTGGTCCGTTGGGGTAAGTGCGGTACAGGCGAAAAGAAGTCGTACTATCACTCCAGTGCTTTTCGAACAAGTAAATGAGATCTGAGTTAAACTCTAAAAATTTGCTTTTTGCCTTGCAAGGAAAAAATCCAAATAGACTTAAATACTATTCATTCACATGACGCCACCAACGATAATTAGTACAAACAATCGTATCATATACTTGCCGTCAACCTTAGAGACAGCTAGTGCAAATTCACCAACCAGATTCTCGACTTTCTGCGGTTCTCGACTCGCCGTCACTTTAAGCATACGACGACTAGCTCATAGTGTACTTACAAGAAAGCTAAAAGCTGACGGCAAATATATGAACTCTATGATTCTAAAGAACATGGTACATATGTCAAGCCCAAATATCTAAAAACCTAACCATCACTCACAAGAGCAGGCTAATCAGTACGAGCAAAAGGACAAGCAAAATCACAAACTCCAAACGAAACCGTACTGGTCCGCTAACTATAATAATGTAATGAAAATTATTTCAATTTAACAATCTTAACAATTTACAGAAACAATATTCAATCAAAAGCAAATCGCTGTGGCGCTCGTCGAGATCTTCCTGGACGGCTGTCGCTTTCGGTGGAGGTAGCAGCGGAAGTCGTTGGCTTTTCTTCAGCTTCCATCTCTTCCAGCTAAAAACTTTGATTTTTTTGAGACATTGAAAACCTTAAGCCTCGGGTAAAGTTCGCGCGATTTCATCGTCGCGACTCATCGCTACAAGACAAGTGTTACAAGCTCATTGCATACCGATCTTCATGTATTTCGGTTGTCATAGTTAGTTAAGATTAGTCGTGTTGGAAAACTATCACAACCGAAATGCAAGAAGATCGGTGTGCAATGGTATTGTTACAATTGTCTGGTCGCTATCAATCGCGACGATGAAATCGCGTGAACTCTGCCTGTGGCCTTAAGGGCCGGGCATACTTCACGCGAATTCAGTCGCGAGGCGATTTGGCAATATTCCAACTGTTCATAACTCACCGTGAGCATATTTCAAATGTACAGAAGATAGGGCACTTTATCGATCCACTTAAGTTATACAAACTATGCATGTGCAGTTCGCTAATATTGGATCTGAAGACTTCTGGCGACTTGCCAAGTCGCGTCGCGACTGAAATCGCGTGAAGTATGCCCGGCCCTTTAGGCGATTAACGAGTGAGAGACGATATGAGACGTTATTGCGGACTTTCTGACCCTTATACAGCCCTTTGCTGCATAAGACTCAAAAAGTCCGCAATAACTGCCATCCAATAAGAACATTGCGCGATCAAAGTGGCTAATTCTGTGATAGAACAACGAGAGGCTTTAAATAAAAAGGCACGATACCAAAAAAGTCAGCCGACTTTAGTCGTACTATCGCGTTAATGTATTGGGTACGACCATACTCTGTTTTTTGGCGCCAAAAACGCTATAGGCGTAGTTTCCGTTTCGCGCGCGTTTTTTGAATTTCGCTCCATGGGTGTGGGTCTAAATTTACAAATTGCGTTTTTTTTCTGCAACCAAACGCTTACTTTTCATCGCTATGCTTATTCATGACAGAAACGGCACTTCTTTTACTCAAAGAAATTCACAAACCTCTTCATATTCAGGATCATCTTCCTCCACCACTTCCTCCTCTTCATCTTCATCAAGGTGATGTTCCATGGCAACTTCATCTCCGTCAGCTTCCTCTTCATCTCCATCGAGTGGATGTTCCATAGCAACTTCCTCTCCTTCGACTGCCTTATCATCCACATCCAATTCGAGTCCTAGTTCATCATCAGTGATGACAATTTCCTCGCCTTCAGGAGCAGTTTCTTCGCCATCAGCAGGAGGTTCATCGCCTCCAGCGGTGTCTTGGTCGGGTTCATCTTCTAATATTTCTATCTCCCCATCATCAGCATCCGGTTCATCGCGCGATTTATTATGTTTTACAGGAATCTTGTCTTTTAAACGGATTGGTAATCCAAGTCGCAGAGCAAGATTTCTAAAAAGTCAAATCGTCAAAAATGAGGATGTGGAATTTCTTTGGAGATGGGAAGAGGAGGGGAAGGGTGTCCTTCAGAGCTTACCGGACATCATTAGCGGTTGTGTAGTGTAAACGATTTGTTGGTGGATATTCAGCTCTCATTTTACCGCAAATGTCACTAAGATACATCTTTCGCTCTAGTAGATTCTGGATGACACCGCATTGCCTAAATTAATCTTCCCAACCTTTCAAAAAATTTTCAAGTTATTGGCAAACCTTTCATTCAAACGCAAAGCCGTAGGATCAAGTTCATGGAAAATATGACCAAAACAGCAAGTTACGTCAATGCTTCCATCATTATATTCACTAATCTAAAAATCAAATTTTCATCGTGCTATCATAGCGTCAGCGCCCCAAGGGAAGCGCGCTACTCGATTGATAGCTCAACGGCGCTAAAACGGGGCAGGCAACTCAGAAGGCAGCCTAACGCAAAATGAAAATGTAATCCTTATGTCAAGCATACAATCATCGTCCCATGATAATCATGAATATTCGCTAAAAGTTCCAAAATTGATATTTTCTTGAAAGTTTATATGACACTGCATTACAATTTACACCTTCTTGAAGCATATGATCAAACGCTTTGATGAAGCCAAAAGCAAAAGAAGGCTTGAAAAGACTTTTTACAGAAAGTCATCTATCACAAAATTCTGTCTCGTTCCCCCTAAACAGTGAATAAACTTTAATGAATTCTCAGAAAGAAAAGCCGATGTGAAGTTATATGTGCAAGTATTTCCTGGGCAAGATATAGGCTATTGCATGACGAAGGCGCAATATCTTCGGGCGCGAACTATACTTGGGGAAATTCGAAATTTTTTTCGAATATTCGAATATCGAATATATTCGAAAATTGAAATTTTCGAATATTCGAATATCGAATATTCGAAATCGAAATTCTCGAATATTCGACTATCGAATATTATTCGAAAATTGAAAATGTTTTTTCGAATGTTATTCGAAAATCGGAAATTTCGAATATTCGACTATCGAATATTATTCGAAAATAAAAATTTCGAATCGAATAATATTCGAATATCGAATATCATTCGTTATTCGAATTTCGAATATTATTCAATTCTCGAATGTTATTCGATTTTCGAATACTGATCGAATAATTTACGTCATTGAGACTGCCTATGAAAGGGGCCAAAACATCCAAGAATAAATTGTTTCATGTAAGTGTTAATAATGGACACTTTCTTATGTTACAATTTACGATGGAAAAACGGTTTAGTCGTGACGTGAAGAGACTTAGAGACCTAAAATCTACTCCTGTGACGGTTGTGAAGAGATTATTCGTACTTCAAAGAAGATTATATACCCTCACTGAGAGTTGCGATTGGATGTACAGCGGTCCCAAACAGTATGTAGATCTGTAGGCTGACATCAACTTAGAGTGCGGGGCGATTTATCAATCGCTTTTCATGTTGCAAAATTACCGTAGGATTGAAGCGGGTCTCAAAACATCAAGAGCCATTTCCCCAAGAAAAAGATTCAAAAGGGCCGAAAGTATTGCATTAGATTTCTAAAAATACTCACTTTATGTAGAATTGCATCTAACCGTAATGCTTTTTTCAAAACTTACGCCAGATACACCGTAACAAGTGTTTTTCAACGCCTTTCAAAAGTGTGATTACCATGTGAAAAGCTTGCAACCTCTTGCGTAGTAGAATTAGCATACGTAAAAACACGCTGCACAGATTTTAGACCTTTTTGGGGACAGCTTTTTTAGATGTCTTATTTTGCAATTGGTCTATATGCTGCTTCCTACCGTGATGACACACAATGAGAAAAACATGAGTGATTCGCTTTCTGCTGTATTAATAGCTGAAGCCATCCCTACTGGATGTTACCCAGAAAATGGTAAAAGACTTTGAGAGGTATTAGCGATTGAATTGTGTATACTTTCAAGACACCCCGTATACGCTATGCATATCGAATTTTCGAATAGTCAGTTCTTATCGAATTTCCGAATATTCGGTGCTCAACGAATATTCGAATATTTGATGGACATCGAATGATCAAATGAATGACCGTCGAATATTCGACATCGGATAATATTTGAAAATTAAGATTTTCGAATATTCGACTTTCGAATAATATTCGGAAATGAAGATTTTCGATTATTCGACTATCGAATATATTCGAAAACTGAAAATTTCGAATATTCGACTTTCGAATTTTATTCGAAATCTCATTTCGAATAGTCGACTTTTCGAATCATTCGCATTCGAATGATTTATTCGAATGATCGAATAATTATTCGATTCGGTCCCAAGTATAGCGCGAACGCGGTTTTATTAGCCGCAGAGCGCATGAGGTGCGGGATCTACAACGGTGAGGATACGCGCGCGTCGCGTTCGCGCCCGCTTAACTAATATCGCCATTGCGCCTTCGTCATGCAGCAGCCTTTAGCTCCCCTGTTATATAGTTTATTGCAGTGGCGGTCGCAAAATTTCCGTCGGGGGGGGGGGGGGGGGGGGGCAATATTCTTCTCTTCAAATGAAGATGCATGGCAAGGTGCGTGGCGTTAGCCATGCACTCCAAAAAATTTTTCCGGCCCCGTAACCCCCAAAATCTAAAAAAAGGGGGGGGCATGGCGGCACCCACGCTCCGAGAAAATATTTCTTACAAGGATAATTTGAATTTTTGATTTAAAAAATTAATCTAATTATTTACAAGGATGAACAAATCATTTGGGAGTTGGAAAGTTTGCTTTGTTGAAATTTGTATATTATATTAACTGATTCTTTTGATCCAAACAGATAACTGAGAATTCTCGCTTTAATCCATGGAAACCAAGCAAGAAATCTCAACATTTTGACTCTAATTTCGGATTCTTATTTTACAAAACCTATTTTTTTAATACAATTAGAAATTACTGATGCTGTACTTACCCTCAAAAACGCAGAACAATGCGTTTGTGCTTTTTTCGTTGAGGTACCGGCTCGTATAGAGCTAGATGTTTTGAAAGTACCAGCTCGATTGCAGCGATACATAGCATATCCAGACCACATAGATGTCTTAGTCGAAAATGATGTGCAAGTTTCTTCACAACGTCGACAAAGCCATTCCTGAGAAAATGTGAAAATCCTGATGTTTCAAAATCGATCGCTTCCAAATCAATTTAGATATTAGCTTTCTCAACTCTAGTAAAATTCAGCCACTTATTGCTGATCTATTTTTAGTTTTGAAGCATAGATGGACGCCATTGCGGACTGTCTGCGCCTCTTCAAGTGCTGCACTCTCTGCTAAGGAGATGTGCTGTGGCTGACAGAGACGCAGACAATTTGCAGTAACGTCCTGTCCATGCTCTAGGTCATTAAACTACTGAATCTGATGATCAGGTTTACATCCGCAATAATCAGAACGTTCTCCCCCCCCCCCCCCAAAAAAAAATTTACAATGTCCAATCTTGGACAAAAATGTAACGAACCTTGTATTCCTCCTTAGACTCAAATCGATATTGTCGAATAGCGAAATTCTGCGGAGTTCCTGCTGCTCCCAGCTCTGAGTGCTCGATCATACAATGATAAGAAAGACTGTCATGATTGGCAAATCGTCCTTCACATCGAGGTACGGGACACAGTACCGCACCCCTTACGGTTTCGCTGAGCTGATCTGGCAGTGGTGGAAGAACTGGTGGACGGAATGGCAATTGCTTCTTCGGTTGCGGGTGGTACTCGACCTCATTCTTTTTCCCATTCTTCCTTCTTTTGCGCTTTTTCAACCGTTTCCAGCAGCTAGCCATATGTCCATATAGAGCATTTTTTGAAATATACCTGAATGGGAAAAAATCAGACGGCCGTTTTGCTCCGCCGTCTTGTTGTAGACCGGTAGAGGATGGTTCTCTGCGGAATCCAAATTTGTACGCAAGGTGGACAAGCGAGATTCGCATGGGCAAAATGCCATTTTGCACTACAGTATCCCTTGTCCTGCATAACTTGTCCCGAAATGTCGTACACGGCAAATCTCCTCTATTGCTTCGGCAAAAGCTACCGCAGGACGTCGCGCACGAATTTGGAAATGGAGATGCCCTGACAGGCGATACGGTCGTGCAAATTGGCCCGGTCGCTTGCCTTCCGCTTCTTCTTTTTTTGCCTCACTACATCATTAAAATCGTTACTCATTAAAAAAGCAAATTATGCCGCCGAAATGTGAGGGAAATGAGAGGCCACGCGCGGACACTAGCCACAAACCATACAGCCCTAAAAATTGTTGCCAAGCTGTTACCGAGAGAAACTTGACCCTACGCAGTCCACAGCAGGGCGGTTGTACGGCAGCGCGGCAAATCAGTAAACAAATCACTTACCCAACACCACAGTTTTTGCACCAGTAGTGCCCATCTACTTTGACGAGTGTTTTCTCATCCTTCTTTTTCAATTCTGCCTTCAGTTTAGCGACTTGTTCACCGGTCCAATTGTGGGAACAGACCATGTGTAAATAGATGGCCGTCGTCCACTTGCCACATTCTGGACACTGTCCGCGAGGGTTGAGTGGTTGCTGCAAGTTATGGATGATAAATAGATAGAATTCGGGCGGAGAACTTTCGAGAAATGATTTCCTAAGTCATTTTAGTATCAAAAAGATGTACAAAAAGTACAACTTAACTCAATTTTGACAAAAAACAAAAATTATACTCACTGTTGTCGGCGCTTTCGCCCATTTTGAGAATGTTTGCTTAGGAACTACCTCCACTGCTAGAACGTCGTATGGGAGTCGTTCCTCCCTGAGAAACGGTGCTTTTCCATGAGCGACGACCATATACAGTACGCAGGCAACCGACTATAGCTTCATGTGTTTGAGTCTAGAAGTGCAAGACAAATGGGATAAGACGGAAAACAAACAATATCTCCACACTTCTCAAAATTGCTTCAACTTAGTAGAAACCAATATTTTACGACAAAGGAAAAAAAAGAACGAGAAATCTGAGGAAGTTTTGTGGCCGCACCGGTGAGCTATAAATCCTGTAGGAAGTGGAGAGAGATATATATGAGGTTAGGGACATGTCCTCCGTAGCAGGAGATTTCATAGAAAACGGAATGTAAGGAAGTTTACCTCTCGTACTGAAGAAAAAGAAGTAAAGAAGTAGTTTATTCTTATGTATTCATGGAACATCAAACTTCGGGAAACAATGTACATCCATTGGAATACCTACATTTAGCCTTAGGGTCAAGGGAAGTAACAAAAATACATCTCATATTGTATCACAAATTGGCAGAAATTGACTTAACGAGCTCATAGAATCGTCAAATATTACACTCTCATTGCAAGATAAAGAGAACCGCTCATAAATGGCATAGAACATGACAGAAAACCGATTGAGCGAAGAAAGACACTCTGGATCACCTGGCGTACGTGACTCTAATCGACAGTGATTTTGATAATACTTCGTCAGCTACGAGCACATCTTCATCAGCTGACACAAGTTCTGAGGAAGAATTGATGAATTTGGTAAAATAAAATTTGGTAAAATCGCAGAACAAAAAAAAATCACCTCGAAGCGGGCGTGCTAAGTTAAGCAGACTCTTTTCTCGAAGTTCTGGTATGAGCTCACTGATCATATAAATTTTGTCCGTGGCCGTTTCCAAAGAAGGATTTTTCAGCTGGCTAAAGGAAAGAAATGGGTAGAGAACAAAAACAAATCTAAACCTTCGAATGGAGCTAAGCAGGAAAAGATGATTTGAACAAAAAAAAATAAGACGTTCCACAGCAATTAGCTATGGAAAGCTGACCTGCCTTTTTTTGAATTTTCAAATCATCAGAATAAAATCAAAACAAACCATGTTCCAATTGAGCTATCACATAAAAGGGGAAGATTTAAACTTACAACTTGTCGACAAGCTTATCAATGAGATCCTGCAAAGTGTCATCATTCTGGCACTGAATCTGCACATATCCACTACTACATGTTGGGCAATCTGGCTGAAATGGAATGTAAAGATACCCAGTAAAGTGTTTAAACAAAGAAACTCACATCTCGCTCCATTTGCACTACTCCGCAGTACACACCTTCAATATCAGTGAAATTTAGGTAGTTATCGATAGGTTTGGCGGTGCTAAAAAAGCGAAGAATAAAAATGGTACAAAAATCTATGCAAAATTACTTTGTTGCTAATTTTATGGCTTCCAAGGCACACGAAGCTGCTATTACGGCATTCGTGGATGCCACGGCTGGGATAATCCTTTTCAATACACCATGTGTTAGACGGCGATCGACACCCTTTATATCTAAACAGCATCGAATAATCTAAGTGCCTATTATGGAATATCGTCTTACCGTATTCCTGTGCTCGGGCAAGTGCTTTTTGCAGGACCCAGTCTACATGCGAAGGATCATCAGCATCTAGCGAAGCTCCTAGAATAGTAATAGAAAACTCTGAAAGCCAGCAGAAAGAGTGCAAGATTATGTAACAACTTACCATTAAAAGGTGCCTCCTCCACCCACTGTATCACCTTCACGTACTCAACGCAGTGTTCTGGTAACCTTGGGGTATGCGCGATCGTACACAAAGGGAAGTTCACCTGCAGGTAAAGTTAGATAATCTCAAAGTGCCAAGAAGAAACTCTTTAGGAATTGAGAGACCCAAAATAAAATATTTCTCTATTTACCTGGGGTGGGAACAGGTTCAAAGTGCAGTCGATGCACGCAGACAATCTTGGATAGATTACTCTTGCATTTCCCTTGAAGCCTTCGGTCCCACCATCTATAAGTGGTATCACTGTAGAGGTGTCCACTTGACCATTCTCGACGATCACCAAATCGCACTAAACGATCTCATTCAAGTATCTAGTAGTAGTGAGAACCAAAAGTACGGCAGCATAAACTACTGTAAACCGCAAATTGAAGAAAAAATAATTACTGACACAGTGTACTGGCACATTTGCGATTTTTTGAAATGAGTCAGAAAAGCAGGGGAGGTCAGATCGTACGCAATAAAATTTGTACGAGAAGCAACGCACCAGCATCCCGTTAATCCACCTCCTCGCGGCTATTGAGTCCAAGCCACAGATCACCAAGGAGAACTGCCGGTAAAAAGAGGGAGGTTTGTCCTCTATTCGGCAGTTGTGTCTAAATATGACAAAAATTGGACTTCCCCTGACAGAATTTGCTAACGGAAAGCTTGGATGAGATCAAGTCTAGAATTCACAGATTTGCACTATCTCAATGGTTAAACGAAAACGAGAACTGAAAAAAACTGAGCCTAGGCGTAATCAAATCATAAATAATCGAATCAAATATAGGATCGCAACTCACGCTGTCACTGTGCATCCAGATACTCTGCCTTGCACAAAGGCGGCCGCCACTTCAGCCTTTGACTTCCCTACGTCAGACATCCTACAAGGAGACCGGAGATAAATAATCCCAGAATCTATAAATGCCAATAGACTGATTCAAAATATGACTTTACCTGAAAAGAAATTGCCTGTTGAGATTACTAATATCTATAGTGTCCATATCGATGACATCCAGGTTTTGGAAACCAGATAATGCCTGAAAAGTGGATTCCGGTTGAAATATTCGATGTGTAGCCTACTCACCAAATTTTTCAAAAGCTCACAGCCTAAGCCACCAGCGCCAATCACCAACACTCGAGTTTTCTGTAGTGCCGCCATGTTCTGAAAGCGGGATAGTCGAGTAGGAAAAAAACCCTTATATGAAAAAAGATGTTAATATCCAACTACCTCTGGCCCGGGTTCAAACCATGGAACAGCATAGCCAGATGGTCTATCTGTTAGTTTCCGGATATCACGCCATCTATCACCAGCTAGCGGATCCGAGCAAACGGAATCCACCATGGCTGCCCTACTAGAATAATTGAATTGTAAATTGAAAACACATAATTTCAAATAACTGCAGTATGAAGGAAGCGTGAAAAACCTCTATGTTATATGAAGATAGATGAGAGTGAAGATTAGCAGCAACCTTTTCCAATGTGCCACTTATAATATTGCTTTCTATGCTGAGGAATATCATGCTGTTGCCCACTTCTTTTTTCTTGGCAAAGCGCTGGGAAAAGGAAAGGGAAAAGAAGGCGAAAATCAGAAGAGGAAGCACCGCTGCGACATAGTGTAACACTTTCCAACACAGGGCGGACGCCAAAAAGATACGCAAATAGCTGACCATACTCAACGCTGCAGCATGTAAAGTCGATTCGTTGACCGCACGGACGACTCAAACGTTGCGGACCACGCGAGGGGCGGCTGAAATGTTGCCAGAGCACAACTTGTACAATGTCGAACTTGTACTGAGGCAAGCGATTTAACTCGCAGTGCATGCTCCGCACTAATGTGCAGTCCGTGCGGTCAACAGATCGGCTACACATTGCTTGCGTCGACGTTTACCTTACATGTATAAAACATTTCACTACTAGAGAACTTCTGCATACATATGTGCTGCAAAGGAGGCACAACTTCATCGGTTAATCTTGTAATTTTTGGAAGATGCAAGGTTTTGTACACAGCATGATCATGCCAGCCAATTTTGGTCATCTCTGACAAAGATATTGTAAGGAAAAACCCGCCATTTATGTCCGAATCGAGAACATTACAGAATTACGTTCATTCTCGAGTTACAAGCATGTATATTGAATGAAAACATACATGAATGAAACAATAAAATGAAATAAACATGCCAACTTGAGATCTTCTAACGATACTAATTCACGGGGAAAATTATACAGAGCAGAAACAGTGGATAGAAATAGATCAAGTATCGTTAGAGGGCAATCTGTGAAAAAGGTGAAAAGAAAATCCGCAGAGGAATCACGAGTTTCAGACGTTCATGAAGTTATCTGACAAATCAAGCGAAGAAAGCGTAAGACAGTTGTGTTTCTAGGTAATATAAAGTAACAGAAATCAGCAGAGAGATGTCTTAACAGGCTAATTGTACTACTTTACCTCACAAAAAAACAATGAACGCAGAAATGGGAGCCTCGCCACCAATCTGCCAGATAACTTCTTTAAGCCTTTACGAGGAGAAAATTCTTGTGATCAAGTCCTTCCGTTAAAAAAAGTTCAAGAATTTCTTAGCATTCCAATTGTTCTAATTTCTCTAGTGTCAGTTCCAGCTGTGCAATGTAACGATCATATGGTACAGGATCACATCCAAGAACGGAATATCGCATCCGAGTCTCTTCCTGAAAGTAAGAAAAATTTTAGACTGCAAACGCAATGGAAAAATATTTCTCATGTAAGAAAAATCAATCGAGACTAACAGAGTCTTACTTACATTGTATGTATTAGTTTTGGCGTTTATCCTCCAATTGAAGTATTTGAAACATACGCTTGTTAGGACTCTATCATAAGCTTCTTTCTGCAAAATGAATTAATCCACAACTGCTCGACAGTTTCAAGCACTGGAACTAAGCTACTCACATCAACCTCTTTCATTTCCCCCAACTTCTGCGCCTCCATGCCAAATACTTTCGTAGCAGCGTTAGAAAACATTGTTACCCAAAGGGACCCACTCAAATCAGTGAGCTCAGCCTTCAAATCACATATTTACCACACTACAATAACAGTCAGCAAAGGAAGCAACTATGTTCGTACCTGGACCATATATGCCCATTTGAAGGTGTCACTTGAAGAGTCACACTTCTCACATCTATACTGGTCAGCTCCCAACTGCACAACTTTCTTTGAACACCCTTCGTTTGAACAACTCTGAAACGCAAAGTTATGATTAAATGAAAAGCAATGACGGCAAGCAATACATACTTGATACAGAGCCGTATCCGTCTTGATTGTGGTGATCATTGCCTTGAGGTTCATATATCGTCCGTTGGCAAGCGCAGCCTCGTTTCCAAGCTGTAGTGCAGTCGCAGTTCCGATGAAACGTACATCTCGTCCTGAAATTTTGAGCCTGAATCACTGTTCTTCTCTGCGCTCCAGAAGCAAATTTTTGCACAGAGAAAGTACTGTATTTCAATCACAATAAACGATATTCGTTTGAATGCCACAAAGCGACAAGCATGGTTATATTGCCTAACGGTAAGATGACCACTTTTGTAAGCATCTACAAGGGAATGAAGAAAAATAGATAATTCCTTCAACTGAGAGGAGAGTTGAGAACAAGTTATCAGAAAATTTTAGACATTTCAGGGATTACCCACCGAATGCATCGCCTCCCCCTCCAGCAGCCATGCTGATCGTCTTGGCATCGACCGATCCTCGTTCGCTAGTATACCATTCATACAAAGCTGGTACTTCATCCAGTTGCGGGCTTAGTTCAATCTTCGATGCTGACGCTACTCCCAGGCTAAATGCTCCTAAAGAAAATAACTTCACCTTCCTCTAGTAACTGATACCCAAACAAACTAACCGTTCCATTCTTTCACCAGAGCTCCCTTGATCGAAATTACCTGACCAAGTGCGTGATCTTCAAAATTTTCAGCTTGCTCACCCCACAGCGTTAATTGGACCACTGTCTGAGATTGATCTATCAGATTTATGTCCCGCTTGACGCATTCTCGTCCTTGCCTCGAGATAAACTAGAAAAACTGACCTAGTTATTCAAAGTTATTCGAATCTATTTGTCGGTGATGATTTCTCACCTTATTTACTGGTTGTATTTGATCAACGACTGCGAGTACATCAATATTTTCATCCTTGTGACTGGGCACATTCGCCAGTGGACAGATTTTCAACACAAGTGCTGGCTTCGGAATTTGATCGTGGCAAGGAGTGATCTGAAGCGATATGTATAGTTAAAAGAAAAGCTGGACATAAATAAAGATTCACTTCTGTATTCGCGTTGATAGATAGCTCGTAATCATGTCCAGTAGTATTGAAACGCTTGTTTGCTTGTTTCACGGTACAACCGGATATATAGTAGGACTGCAAGATAGATACTGTGACTTCAAGAACAACGATTGCGCACAACGAATTCGCCTACACAATCTGTTTGGATGATGCTGTATGCCCTTTCAGCCGCATCATTGAATCCGGTGATGCGAATCGCGACTCCATCTTTGTCGGTTATTTCGAAGCTAAATACCTAGAAAGAAAAACTGAATGGATACAAGAAGACAAGACCGCGCTCGCTGCATTCTTCTTCGCACAGAAAGGAGATCTAGGCATAAATGACAAATTCGAGCACAATTCTATACCTTCATATCTCCAGTTCCAGTTCGTGATTTGGTTGTCTTCAGTTCATCCTTAGCCGTGCAAAGTCCACAGATACGCCATTTGCTGATGTAAGGGGTGATCATGCTGATGGGCGTGACATTCCCGCCACCAAAGCTCTGCGCTTGTGGTCGTCGAGGAGCGGTTGGTCGAGAAGCTGCTGCTAAAATGTTAAAAACATTCTTGGACTGAATAGCAGGATACAAGAGCAAAGCAATGAAACTTACGAGTAGCGCCCTTACCGGTGGAGCTTGGATCACCCCAAGGTACAGAATATACTTGCGTAGGTTTAAAGTTTGTGAACTTATTCTGAAAAATTGTAATAAACAATGTTTAGCCTCAAATAATTTAGTCTCACAGAAATGAAACTCTTTTAAATCTAAAGCGGTATCCTAGCAGCGCCTGAGAACAGTTACACAGTGCTTTAAATCGATAATGATAGGCTGCGCACGAACTGGCACGTGCCAGCCCCGTGCCGGAACGGCAGGGGCTGGCATAGTGCAACTCTAGACATTGCCTCATGAAAGCTCAGAAAGGGATTGAGATACAATCAGAACATCAAGAAAATGTGCAAAGATAAACTTTGAAAATGCTATGCCTCACAATATGATAAAATTTGATACCTTATCGCCATCATGGCTCACTCCCGGTGAAAGTATAGGATGACCTCTTGAGAGCAGTTCGTATCCAGTTATCATCAGCATAGGTTTCCTAAACATACGAAAGTGAACGTTGAAAAATGCTGGGTCAGCATCTGTCTTACCCTGGACTTTTGTCATTCTTTCCAACGCAGCCGTTGGGGTTGATGTACATCTTGGTAACCGCGATTATTTCTCCACCATTCTCGGCATTCCCTACCAGATTGTCGCGATCGCACTGTGCTTCTAGACCTTTGACGACAAACAAACCTGGAAATTCAAGGCAACATTGCTAAAGTGGGATATGATCTTTAGGAGAAGGGTAAATGTTGAGACGCAAGTTTTTTTTTGTGAAAAATTTAACTGCACTAACCAGAATAGTGAAAAGCTCCATCAGTCAGACGCAACCTAAGGCATGCATCCGGATAACCAGCCAAGCCCGCTATTAATTTCTTTGCAAGCTGAAATAGATCATTTCGACAAAGTTCACGGCAAAAAAGAATGCAGACTTACCGAAACTTGCAGAATTGGAACTTCTGTGGTTGTTCCGTCGCTTTCGAAGTAGCGCTAAAAATGCAGAGCTGAATAATAATGAGAAAAACACTAACGTGTAGTTTCGACCGATTTAGTACAATAAACTTCCAAAATACCTGGAAGAACCCAGTCGATAACCGTAACTCGCCATCTGTACCATACTTTCGATATTGAGCCGGAGTAACATGCACTGTCGCGGTTGTGGCCATTCTAAAATGAGGATTCAAGAGAAAAAAACTATATTTTTGACTCGCATAAAAGAACACGCAAAAAACAACAGCCTGCAGACTAGATGGCCTAAAAATGGTGTAGTATACCCAAATAGAACACTTGATCACAGTTGTTACAATACTCAAACGATTGCAGGATTACAAACACTACTAAAAAAAGGAGAATGGAAATATCCCATGCAAGAAATTTTCGACCGCACAGGAATGTTTCGAAAGTAAAGATTTGGCGCAATAAGCGGGAGTTGAACGAAAATTCGCACCAGGTCTGACTTTTCGGGTTGGAGCGCCGTTATATCAAGGAATGACGTTAATTTAGAAATTGAACAAAAGCTTCTAATCAATATCGATAATAGCGTGTTTGTACTTTGAATAAAACGGTTTGTTCCAATAAATATATTTGCTAGTTGCAGACGCTTTTTCAAGCATTATAGCAAGGGTTTGAGTAATTAAAACCGTAGGTATCAGTCAAACCAAAGCTGTACGTTTATTGTAAAAATTTGTTGCAACTATAGAACGGTTTCGAAAAGGACACGCATCAATGGGCATTGGGAAATTCAAATATATTCGAAAAAAAAACCCAGAAATTACTTCCCCAAGACTATTTGATTCATTAAAAACCGGCGATTTATAAAAGCTTCCGTAAATGTAGAAAATACCTCAGCATTCTGTAGATAACCAATTTTTTGAAAACCCTAGATTTTAGCCTCAAAAAATGCCATTTCTACAAGACTGTGAGAAGGAGAACATTCTATAGATGTGCCATGCAGGCATCTTTCCAACGATGTGTAAGTCGGTATTATATTAGGTTGTCCCTTACATCCGTTTTGACTTTCATCCATAATATATCATATACACTTCTTACTTCTAAACAAGTCCAAATATCATTTGGTAGAGCAAAGCAAGCTTTATATAATGGCATAATGGCGTTCTTGCCTTTGCACCAGCAATCCATCCCGAGATTGAAGCCGGAAACCAAAAAGATTCAGTAGCCCGCAAAATCGAGAAAAAATCGTCATTCTGTCCAAAAAGATCCTACAAAAATCCTAACTTTTCCAGTCACGCATGAACTTTCTATATGAGACGTTTATATATACCATTGATGTTTTTTCCTTGGCTGAATCAGAGAAAACGAAAATTTTCATGTTACAAATTGATGCTGTGCTGTTCCGCATAAGTTTGTATATTAAAAGCCTTCAGAAGTACAAACGTAAATTTTTAGCTTTCTACAAGCTTTAGTTCTCGAGAGATATCTCCCCTCCACAGATCGTGCTACCCTTGTGGCGTCGCGGACGTGCCACGTGTGACTAACACATTGGCACGTTGGCAGCAACGCGTTGGCAGCATGCAGCAACATGTTGGCGTGGCCAAAATGTTCTGCCAAACATGTTGGCAGAACATTTTGGCCACGCCAACATGTTGCTGCATGCTGCCAACGCGTTCCCTAGGAGGGGACGATATAATTTTGTTGGCAACGTGGCAACAACATGTTTGCAACATGCAGCAACATGTTTGCAACATGCAGCAACATGTTTGCAACATGCAACATGTTGCTGCATGTTGCAAACATGTTGTTGCCACGTTGCCAACATGTTAGCCACACGTGGCAGGTCGAGACGCAGACCAAGGGTAGCACGAGGAGGGGACGATATAATTCTAACACGTTTCGGACCACGAAATCGCGCGCGGCGAAAGAGAGTGTAATTTCAGCCGTTAGCCTACAAAGGCACCCTACGCAGCCTGTGGGCCACATTTGTAATCAGCATGTCAGACAAGCTCCATACCCAAAGTTCTGAGTGAATTCGAAGTGTTTAAAATTTGTCGCTTGAGAGGGACTTGTTCCTATCTTTCAAGAAAGCACAAATGCTTTCTTGAAAGATAGGAACAAGAACTCAGATTCTAATAGTATCCAAAAGGTATCTATGTTGTAGACGGTACACATCAGTATCACCACAGTTTTTCTCTTTGAAATCGAAGCAAAAGAAAGTTGCGAGGTTGCACGCGTCGTTCGCGTTGCCGCACTTCGTTACAACTGTTGTTGGATTTGTCCTCATATCTTCTAAACAAATACGCTCGGCACAGCTCTACAGAGTTATTTGAAAAGTAGGAGCTTAGACCTTCGACTTAACAACTTTGGACTAAAAGGAAACCTCCTTTAAACGCCAGAAAGATTCTTCAAAGCAGCGTGCTGCACCATGTGCAGCACCGGTCCGAAACGTGTTAACGTGAGAGAGCCGACCACGGGTAGCTTTTCTCAAAATTTCTCAAGAATTAAGGCTTGTAAAAAGCTGAAAATCCACGTTCCTATTTTAGATGCTTGTCTACAAATAACTTATGTGGGAACAGTACAGCATCACTTTGGCAAAAGCGAAAATTTTTTCGTTTTTCTGAACTCTGAAAAATGAAAAAGTAGAGTGCATGCATGAGCGAGTTGGGAATTTTTGTAGGATTTTGGAACGGAGTTACGAATTTTATCATTTTTTCGGGCAGCTAATGAAGCTAATGCAAAACCAAGAACGCCATGTTGTTTAGTTTGCTCGGCTCTATCGAAAATGGTATCTGAAAGCTGTTCAGAAATAAGAAGTGTATGAGTTATTGCGGGTCAAAGTCAAAATAAATGAAACTTACGAACCTGATGAAATTTTGCACGAACTTTTACAAGAAACGAACAATTCGCCCTAACACTCTATAACAATGCTGGTGCGACCCTCATTTCTCCGATCGTTTCATGCAGTGAGGTTGTCCATGCATAGTTGAAGTTTGAGATAACATTTAAAAATTAACTTTTCAACTGATTGGAAACAGCATCCCTATCTTCCCATACAGGGCCTGGCACCAGCTGGCATGGGGCAAGCTGGATATCGTTTTTAGGGCAAAAAGCAAAGGGGGTTTCGTTTTTGTGGGCGAAGACACGTCAAAAATTGGCGACCTTTTTTTTAGTCGACGTTTCGTTTTTGATTTTGGGGTGGGACTCTGGGGATTTTTCAGATTTTTAGAGGGGATATCGTTGAGGGTCAAAGGGGACTTCGTAAAATTTTGGGAAAGTCAAAGGTGACTTCGTTTTGAAAATTTCCTGGTGCCACCTCGTGCCGAGCCCTGTTCCCATATCTTTGTGGAAAGCAAAGGTGAAGCTTGATCCAAGCTTGATAAAGTTGTCTGCCGGTGGACTTATTTACAATAGTGTAGATTTCATGCATTCGAAGCTGTATCAAAATTCAAGATATCAAATATTTGAATGTTGAACACGTTTAAAATTTTTGATATGACTAACATTGCAATGGTAATCGTAACTCGAAAGCACTTTATCTGTTTTGTTCGATTACGGTAGGATCTCTACTCATATTTGAGCCTGCACACTACGCGCGGTAACCGACGATACGCTTCCTAATAACTCCTCAGTCAAAACCTTTTCTATCGTAGCAAAGTGTAGAAAGGTGTTGCTAATTAATACATATCCAGTTTAGCCGAAAGAGAAAAGAAAAACTTGAGATCACTGAGAATTAGCAGTTCTAATCCTATATTTCGTCAATTAACGCGCACGGTGTGCGAGGGAGACGGTCAAGAGGCGCGATTTATCCAGCTGTCACCAACTCAAAACTCCAGTTTAGTGCCATGCGAATCTTCAAAAAGTATCAAATGAAGTACATTGAATTGCTATCTGTCTGAGGTTACCACTCGCCGAGTGAGATGGCTTTTGCTGAAAAACGGACCGAAATATTTACGAATTTGTTCTTAGCTGCATTTTCATGGGTTTTTGACCTTCAAAATTGCTCTTTGAATTGATTCCAAGGTAGCCAGATTTATCAACCCATGCAACTCCCAAATACATCTCCTTTTAAAATTTCAGTATTTCTGAATGTTATAAAACACTTATTATGTGCTTTTTGGTGTCCATCTGGCAATAAAAATCGCGCCTCTTGACATACACCCGGTGTGCGATACGCGTGTTGAGTACAAATGACTCGACGATACATCTATGAGGAGAACCTGATCGTGAGATGGCTGCGACATGCCTACAAATTTTGGTGTTTTTTTTTTGGAATTTCCCCAAGGATTAACAGGGTCACATTCACGACCATGGGGACCATTGAGGTATCGTACATGTCCTTTATTCGGAGGAGAAATCGACCTTTTCGAATGCCCGACTGTGGAATGATATCCGTGCTTTTGAAGAAGATATCGAATACTGAAATTAGGGGTGATATTCGAAAATAAGATCGACTGTGCTTTCGATTAAATAGCCAAGTGAATCAATCGCAAATCCAAGCGTTATTTGAGCTGAATTAGCAAATGTTCTTGAATCTCTGCAGTCCATTTTTGTGATTAGCATTACCCTGCATCATTCAGACGTACTTTCAACAACTTAGCGAATTGAGCATTTTTATTGACGAGGTTGTAGAGAGGTGTTGAGAGAGTTGTATTCCTACGGCGATATGACACCATGTGAATGCTCCGAAAGGGGTCTGGTAGCAATAATTTTCGCGAACACAATGACGAAGACAGAGGATGAGTCAAGAAGGAATTCTGCAAAATTCGATAGCAACGCTTGTTATTGCAACATCGGCGACGTCGCGAAACATCTCCAACGTCTAGATTAGCGCGCTGGGACCATTCAAACACCCCCGATCTCCGAATATAACTGAACTATGGTTTGATTTTGTACAGATGCAGCAAAGCTGACTGCTTCTACGAAATGTATTCGATGATCATCGAGTGATAAAATTCATAATCATCGAGTACTCCGAAAACTGCGAACATGACTTTCGAGCACTATTTGGAATTTTGAATCTCGACACTGAATATTCGCTATACTGTTCAACTTGAATGGTTGAATAATTATTTGATTTTGTAAAAATAACGCTGTCAATTCGAAAAATGCAAACCGCTGATGTACGTGTTGATGATTTATGTATCATCAACCTCAACAATTCTATAATCCTGATAGCTTACGGGTATTCCCCATAGGCTATACTCTCCAACCGCTTATATT